CCATCCATTCCATTTTCTTTTTTTTTTTTTTTAATTTTATTGAGTTTATTGGTACATTTTAGGGATACAGTACAGTTACATTCATTGTTGGGATCATGTACCTTTACATGGCAAGTCTTGATTCTCATTTTTTCCCCTTACCTCTGCCCTCCCTTCACCCCCTCCTCCCCTCCCCATCTACAAACACTTTATTTTCATCTTTTCATTCTCTCACATTTTTTTCTTTTCCCTTTTTGTTCTTCCCCTACGTATCACACCTTCCCTACACCTTTAGCTCCTTTCCTCCCATTTCTAAATGTCAGTAATCTTATTAGAATCTTATGCATTGTTGCAGAATATTCACACCAGGGAAACTATTTGGTATTTACACATGTGGGACTTATTTATTTCACTTAGGAGTATATCTTCAATATGTATCCATTTTCCTATGAATGAATCTATTCTCTCGCTCTTTATGGCTGAGTAATATTCCATTTTATAGAAAAACCACAACTTCTTTATCCAGTTTCCAACGGATGGGCAAATAGGTTGTTTCCAAGATTTAGCTATTACAAACTGTGCCGCTATAAACATGGGTGCACATACTTCTCTGTGATATGATTCTTTTAGTTCTCTTGGAAAGATACCCAACAGAGGGATGGCTGGGTCAAATGGAACCTCCAGTCCAAGCTCTTTGAGGTATCTCCATATTGATTTCCATAGTGGTTGCACTAGTCTGCACTCCCACCAACAATGGAGGAGGGTTCCTTTCTCCCCACAACCCCGCCAACATTTGTTATTGTGTGATTTCTTGATAGCAGCCATTCTTTGTGGGGTGAGGTGGAATCTCAGTGTTGTTTTCATCTGCATCTCTCGAATGACCAGTGATGTGGAACATTTTTTCATATATTTTCTTGCTGCTTTCACTTCTTTGTATGAGAAATGTCTGTTCATTTCGGATGCCCATTTTTGGATCGGGTCTTTATATTTGGGGGGACTGATTGTTTTGAGTTCTTTATATATCCTTGATAATAGTCCTTTGTCTGAGGTACAGCTGGTAAAAATTTTTTCCCACATTGTAGATTGTCTCTTAGTTCTGCTAATGGTTTCTTTTGAAGTACAGAAGCTTTTTAGTAAGATGAGATCCCAGTTGTTGATTCTTTCTGCTAGTTCCCGTGCTACTGAGGATTTGTTCATAAAGTCTTTTCCTATACCAATGTCTTCCAGAGTTCTGCCTAACTTACTTTCCAGCAAGTTTAATGTTTCTGTTTTAATATTTAGATCTTTAATCCATTTGGATTTTAATTTAGTGCATGGCGAAAGATAAGGGTCTAATTTTAATCTGTGACAGGTTGATATCCAGTTTTTCCAACACCATTTATTAAAGAGGCTATCTTTCCTCCACTGAGGATGGTGAGCTCCTTTGTCGAAGATGAGGTAGCTGAGTACATCTGCATTTGTTTTTGTGTCTTCCAGTCTGTTCCATTGATCCTCAGGCCTATTTCTTTGCCAGTACCATGCTGATTTTATCACAGTGGCTTTGTAGTATAGTTTCAAATTGGGAATTGTTACACCTGGTGCCATGTGACTGTTGCCTATAATGGCTTTTGCTATTCTAGGTCTCTTGTGGTTCCAAATGAATTTTTGGATTCTTTTTTCTAGTTCTGTGAAATATAGTGTTGGAATTTCAATTGGCATTGCATTGAATGTATATAGCAGTTTCGGTAGTATGGCCATTTTCACTATGTTGATTCTTCCTACCCAGGAGCAGGGGATATCTTTCCATTTTTTTATATCCTCTTCGATTTCTTTTTTCAGAGTGCTGTAGTTTTCAGTGTAGAGATCTTTTGTTTCTTTTGTTAGATTGATTCCTAGATACTTCATTTTTTTGGATGCTATTGTAAAAGGAATTTTTTCCCTTATTTCTCTTTCTGTCTGTCTGTTATTTGTGTATAGAAAGGCTATTGACTTTTGGGTATTCACCTTGTATCCAGATACTTTACTGAATCTGTCAATTAAGTCTAGAAGTTTTTTGGTGGAGTTTTTTGGATCTTCAATGTAGAGTATCATATCATCAGCAAATAATGATAGTTTAACTTCTTCCTTTCCTATCTTTATTGCTTTAATTTCTTTCTCTTGTCTAATTGCTGTGGCTAATGTTTCCAGAACTATATTGAAGAGAAGTGGTGATAGTGGGCATCCTTGTCTTGTTCCTGATTTTAACATGAAGGTTTTCAGTTTTTGGCCATTCAATATGATGTTGGCTGATGGTTTTTCATAAATAGCCTTTATTAAATTGAGGTATAGCATCCCATTTTCTATATCTGAAATTCTGTCTTCACATTCATTCATTCTGGTGTGAATGCTTTCTATAGCAATTTTTTTTAATTTCCTGTATATCTGTTTGAACCTGTTTCATGAATTCCATTTCTTTCCTCTTTTGGGCATTCAAGGTTTCCATTTCTTTTCTATGCTGGGCATTCGTGGTTTCCATCATGGCCTTGAGCTCATCTATTATTTTTTTTTTAATCTGTTTCTGTTCTAGAGTCTCTAATCATGTCTTTCATTCTTCTCACCATCTCTGTGGTTATCTGGGAAATTATTTCTGTATTGAATTTTTCTACAGCCTCATTTATCTGTTTTGTTACTTCCTATGCTATTGGTTCAGGGTATCCAGATGGTTAACTATCAGTCTTTTCCACCTCATTTCCCCCAGAGTTTACCTTTGGTGAGGTGGAAGTCTATTTTTGTGCTGTGTTTAATTGTCTTCTCATTTCTATTTTTGTTGTTGGCACTGTCCTTGGTTTAATTCCTGGGTTAATAATTCGATCTTTCAGATATAGCTGGTCTTTAGGTTTTGAGTCTCTAAGGACTCTGAGGAAATCTCATTTTCATTATACCAGGCAGGCCCACTAATTAGATCAGTCACAACATCTTAGCCCAAGTGATACAATCAGTAACACAATAGCATCAAGCACAGCTTAGAAAACAACATTTTGTTGTAGTTATTAATCTATCACCTTTAACTGTGTGAATTAAATCCAAATTGAGGACCAGCCCAAAATACTTTTATAGTGAATAAACTCTGCATCTTAGAACCTTTATCCTTCAGGATGGGGATTTAGAAGCAGTTGGGTGGGGAAGGTTAGATAGGACAAAGAAAGGTTACTCTAGGAAGCTGTTGAAGAGAAGAGAAGAATAAAATATACCCAAGAACAGAACAAACTAACAGCAATAGGGAGGCTAGAGACTGTAATCACTTTCTTTTAAAACTAATGACAATTGAGAGAAGGCAAAGAGAGGAAAAGGAAAAGAAAGAAAATAAATTTGAATTAGGATAGGAACAGGAACAACAAAAGGAGAGTAATGAAGATCAAGGTGGGAGAGAGAGTGAGAGAGAAAAAAGGAAGATAAGAAAAAGAAGATCAAAAGGAAAATAATTTGGAAAAAAGAGATAATTTTTAAATGATTAAAGATAAGAGAAAAATATTACTTTGAAAATAAAAAATACAAATAGAAATAGAGGGCCTCCTTCAGGGTATGCCTCTGTTTACACAATAGTCAGCATAGGAAGGAGCGTGTAGATCTAAGTTAATTAGTCTCAGCAAGCCAGCAGCTGTTCCCTGAGGTTCAGGCTGATTTTTGGCTGCAAGGCCTAAGCTGTGATCTCTGCCCTCCTGCTGCATTGAACCCTGCAAGGTTCTACTGCAGGTTCCAGGTGTCTTTCCTCTGAAGTTAGACCATGTTCCAATATGAGGTGCTGGTCCCTCTGACTTACCAGCTATGGTGGTTTGATGTGCCTTTATTGCAGATTTTCTTCACTTTTCCAGTGGGCTTCAATTTTCATGTAGGAACCTCAGAGCCTCTTTCTCTTATTCGCCACGGGTGGGGGAGGGGCAGGCAGGGACACCGCTGTGTTGGCGACCTTAGCGGCTGGGCTCCTCTGGACGAAGGGATGGGCCTACGAGAGGTTCCCACACTGCTTCCGTGCTCCTCTGTTGCTCTGTACTGAAGAGGGGCCTACCAGAGGGTCACAAGCTGCTGCCAGCCGCCTCTGGCCTGCTGAGTCAAAGGGGCATGGAAACTTAGGGCATTTTTCACATGTCAAGAATTGAAGAATAAAATTCAGAGTGTTTCATTTACATCTTTTTTAGTTTTTTTTTTCTGCTTCTTTCTGAACACTACAGTCAAACTTGCTCCTTGCATTTATTATTCTTAGAGACAGATAATTTAAACTGTAGGCAGTACAATCACTAAGAAAAAGTTGATTAGACATTGTGAGTTTAATTTTTTAATTATATTTTGGGAATGTGGGATATGTACCTCAATTGTAAAAAAAGTGTATATTTCTACTATCTGAATTTGTTTTTCTTTTTCCCTGTGGTTAACATTTTCCCCTGCTTGCTAACTTTGTTACATTTTGCTTGTTTCTGTTTTTTTTTTAGTGTTGATATATTTTTGAAGCCAAAATTAATGATCAGATATATTAAATGATTGAAGCTTCTGATACAATGTAAATTGATGTAAAATTTTCTTGCTTTTTTTTTTTTTTACACATTTTGGGCTCTGTTTTGGTTCATTTAGCAGATCATCTTCCCATGTCATCTTCGCATGAGTCTGGGAGCACTTGTCATTGTGCACTAAAATAGTAGAAGGGCATTTGAGGGGGATTCAGGAATATGCTCAGTAGAATGATGCTTTATTTCAGTGCAATAGAGTGAATTGTATTATTCCAATATGTCAAATTTCTCTCTGCCAATTTATGACAGTTTAATTTCTGAATTATATTTTAGGTAGTCACTTAGTTTTATTTCCTTAAAAAATTAATATGTGACAGTCCCAAATAGATAATATAAGTTTTTAAATAATCCAGTGTTTTAGTATATTCAGGATTTTCAATGCATTGTAATTTTAGGGGAAATCATTTATGATAGATAAATATGCAAAAATAATGTGCTCATCTTAAAATAATGTGTTCTATACTTAATATATGGTATGCTAAAATTTTCATTTATTTGCAGATTTTAGAAAGAAAAAATAACGAAATAGAAGAACTGAAAACTTTGTATAAGAAGAAACAAAATGAAACTGAGGAGACTATAAGAAAGCTTGAAAAGAAAGGTGATGTGTTGTCAAATAAATCTTTTAATAACAGTTTTATTTTATTTTATAAAATTTAAAACTTAATTTCTGACTTTGAGCTTCTATCAGTAGAAGAATTTATGGGGATTTTCATGTGGCTAAATGAAACTCTGTGTGTGTGTGTGTGTGTGTACATGTGTATTGGCAATGGCTAGTATTATGATTGATAGAAAAATCTTAAAAAGTATTCCCCATTTACACATTCATTAAGAAGGAAAATAAAGCATGCCATCAAGTATAAAGTTGACTGTGATTATGGATCAAAACATTGAAACCAATAGGTAATCATAGAAGAGAATGTTATATTTTTTGGAGAAAATATCTTTTGTAAGATGTTTTAAAGTCTGATAAAATTGAATTAACTCATGAGAAGAGTTTCCTATCCTGGGATGGGAATGCTGCAGTTGGTAAGTTGTAGGGTGGATGCTGTAAACCTATGTAGCTAGAGTGGTTACATTAAGGGCTAAATTTGGAAAAGATTAAGATAACTGGCTTGGGGCAAGATAAAAACATCACCTTAAATTTCAGATTCACAAGTTTGTGTTTCATCATCTAGATACTGGTGAGCCAGAAAAATCTTTTCGAGGTGTGAGTTTTAGGGAAAGCATGTCAGTGGTGGGTGTGCAGAACATAGAGACAGAATGGAGGGAGAGAGAGAAAGAACAGAGGGAAGCAGACAGGAAAGAGTGAGAGCGAGAGCAAAAGCACGAGAGCAAGCACAAAAGAAAAGTCCATGTATATATGACGTTAGGAAGTCTGTGGGTCTTGATTTACTCATTATAATATAATGTCAGAATAAGTATGTAAAGTTCCTTCCGACTCAAAGATGTTATGTTTCTGTACTTCATAATTTTGCACATAAAGTGATAAGGACCCTAAATATCTAAGTGATTGCAGTGGAAGTAATAAGAAGGGAACTAAAGAAGAAATTTTGAAGAGTGAATTATGAGATGTAGGCAGTGAGTAAGATTAAAGAAGAAAAAGTTTTCATTTGGGGGTTTGCACAGCTTATTAAATCTTCTCCAGGTCACCAAACCTAGATGTGTTTGAGTGAATGGTAATTAATGCCCTGGAGAATTTAGGTTGGTAGTTATGTATATACATTGATCAATGAATTAGATTCAGTTAGATTAATTTCCAGTTTGAAGTGTGGATGAAAGTAATTAAAAATTTAAAGTTCTTTCTCCAGATATTATCAGTAATTATAAACATAATTTCCAGGTTTTCTTTCTTAATCTGATTCAAATTAGGCAACCTAAATATTCCTAAAGTTTAAAATAACTAAATTTGAAAAGTACTGTTTCTGTAGGCCTTAATTATAGCTAGATCTTAATTTAGTGTTGAAATTGTGAGGTAGAATATGTTGTACATGCTAAGGGCCAACACTACCTCAGCTTGGATTCTTCTCCATTTTATTTGTTACATAGTTGAGATAATAAGTGAAAAAATTTTCTAAGGGAATATTTCTGAAAATACTACTATCTTAAAGTAAGTGAATAAAAATGTATTCGGTAAGGTAAGAAAATGTTATATTGAAATAAAATACAGCTGAATTTAATTATTCAGATGACATGAATGTATTAAACAAATTTTTATTTACATCAGTGCAGTTTAAAACATTTTAGGAAAGAAGATAGAAATTATAATAATTTATAAATTAATTTTTAATTTATATATGTTTCCAGTTCTAGAAATTGAATGTAAGGCCTGGTACATTCTGGGAAGGAAATATATTTTATATAATGTTTTAAAATTTCACTTTAGTAACATAAACCTTGAAAGTAGTTGTTTTTTTTTTAATTTTTTGAGACAGGGTCTCACTATGTAGTTGAGACTGTCCTGGAACTCACTATGTAGCCCAGGCTGGTCTCGAGCTCACAGTGATCCTCCTGCCTCAGCCTCCCGAGTGCTGGGATTACAGGTGTGTGCGCCCACGTCCAGCCTGAAAGAAATTTTAAAGTAGGAGCAACCATATATTGAAATGATAGAAACTTTTATTTATTCATTCAGTAGATATTTTTTGAGAACTCACCTATATGCACTGCTGTGACCTGTGGATAACATTTTGAAGTTAAAATATTTCTCCTCAATGAAAATAGGCAGTAGACAAGTAGAATGTTATAATAATGTAAATGACTCAGTGGAGTAATGTGTTTGGTTTTTATAGAAATAAAGAGGCGTTTCTTTCTGCCTCTGCAAAAGGCAGAATCAGGCTAGTGGTTCACAAAAAAGGTGATCCTCGAATTGAAACTCCAAGGATGACTGGGAGTTTTTCAACAATGGAGAGAATAGGTAATAGGCAATCATATTTAGGCAGTGATATACAAAAGAGCACATCCTCTGGAATCTGCAGATAGGTTGGTGTGTTTACACTGCAGGTTTAAAATGTGGAAGTGGCAGGAGATAGGAAAGGGGTAACCCTCCCTTTTCCAGGACTTTGGCTTTTATCTCCCAGGAGAGAAGAATGGCAGAATGACGTTCAGCTTGGGATAACATTACTGGATTTGCATTGTTAAAAGGCCTTTTTAAAGCAGTAGAGGATCCGTAAGAAGGAAATGATGCTTGAAGCGAGAATACTGTTAACATTTTGTAGGGAGAGAGCAAAGACAGTTCAACCACAGCAGTCTTAGAAATGGAGAAAAAGGGCAAAGAATAAAATAAAAAATAGTTTAGAAGAGCGAATTGAGATGACTTAGTGAAAAATTGAATTATCTATTGACAACTATACTGTATTTTATATCATGGCATTCTTACGTGTTTTCTAGAATTGGTTTAACTGTATTTTCATCGTTTTTGACAGTTCAGACCCTTGTACGTGACTGTCAAGTTATCAGAGAAACTAAAGAAAACCAGATTGCAGAGCTAAAAAAGATATGTGAACAAAGTACAGAATCTCTAAATAATGATTGGGAAAAAAAGGTAAGCTATATAGTATTGAAATAAAAAATGTAAAAGTATAGACTTCAAATTAATATATTTAACTATAATAATGGACTTTATGGAATATACAGAAAATTATGATGAAAGAAAATAAAAATAATTAAAAATTCTGGACCACCCATTTATAAAATACCCAATTCAAAAATGGGCATCTGAAATGAACAGACATTTCTCAGACAAAGAAGTAAAAGCAGCAAATAAATATATGAAAAAATGTTCAACACCACTGATCATTAGAGAGATGCAGATGAAAACAACACTGAGATTCCATCTCACCCCAGAAAGAATGGCTGCTATCAAGAAATCAAGCAATAATAAATGCTGGTGATGTTGTGGGGAGATAGGAACCCTGCTTCTTTTTTGGTGGGAGTGCAGACTGGTGCAACCACTGTGCAAATCAATATGGAGACACCTCAGACAACTAGGATTAGAGGTCCCATTTGACCCACTGTACCTCTGCTGAATATCTTCCCAAAAGAATTAAAAGAATCATACCACAGTGATATATGCTCACCCATGTTTATAATGGTACAGTTTGTAATAGCTAAAATTTGGGAAGAACCCAATTACCCATCAACTGAAGACTGGATAACGAAGATGTGGGTTTTTTTTTTTTAAATAAAAGGGAGTACTACTGAGCCATAAACAATGAGAAACTAGAGATATTTATAGCAAAGTGGATACACATTGAGGACAGACTCTTAAGTGAAATTAATAAGATGTACATGTGCAAATATATAGTTTCTCTGGTGTGAAAAACTAAAAGTGTAAATAAGGATCAAAAGGTATAATTGATACTGTGTAATAGCAAAGGTCTAAAAGAGTAGAGGAAGTGGGAGGGGTCGTGGAAAGTTAAAAAGGGAAAAGAAAAAATATGTGAAAAGGAAAAACATGGAAACAATGTCTTTGTACACAGAGAAGAGTGGAGGGGATGAAGGGAGGGCTGGGGAATGGGGGAAAATACGAACCAAGATAAGTCATACAAAGGTACAAGATCCCAATGATGAATGGAACTGTATTGTATACCTAAAATGTACCAATAAACTTAATTTTTAAAAATTCTGGACAAACTGGAAATAGGTACTATTTATGTTTTGGTATACTTTCTTCTAGAAGTCTGGTCTATAAAATAGTTTTCATTTAAACATATGCTTTGACTTAATTATTGTATTTAATATTCTTGATTTTCTGTCACAGTCAATAGATTTTAAGCAAAATCATTAGGGAAATAGTCATTTTAATTTGGATTTAGACCATTTTCTTTCTTGAACTTTTAGAAAGAATAACATAATCCAGAGTTTATCATACAAGCTTGTATGTTATGTGAACAAAATTATACGTGTATGGATCATACTTACATGTGTTTGAGAAATTGCTGCTCTGGGCCTGCTAAGGCACTTACTTTTCAATATAAGCTGTATTACTGGTTTAAAATATACATTTCAGAAAAAACAAAACACATCAGGAATTTTGGAGGCCACTTACATACCGGCAAAACTGCCTATGTTAATTTTATGAAACCCATGGATCTTCTGTATGGCTATCATTAAGCCATTCCTACGGTTCCTTTTCAGCTAGAAACTAGAGGGAGAGTTTGTGAGACTTTCACCAGTTCTGTTATCATACTTGTTCTTACATTCTGCCTCAACCCTATAATTTCTCAGTCTTCTGTTTCTCTAGTGTCTTCCAAGACTGCCTGTGTCATGTCCTCTTCTCTCTTCCCTGTTCATAGACAGGGAGTCCAATAAATCATATAGACTATCTTGGACTCTTGTTCTCTCCACCTAGTCAACGGTGTTTTATTCAGCAAATAAGTTAGAATTCCATTCCCATTAAGATAAATAAAGGAATTCCCACAAGGCTGAGAGATTTTCAGACCCTCTCAAAAGCAGTGCACTGAGCCATGTCTGAGCTTCCTACTTTTGCCTTTGCCTTCTTTATCTTAGTTGATGCAGGTATTTTAAAGCTTCATCCTTTAGAGTATATGTAATAATCTTTATCAATAAATACCCGTGTACATGCTATGCATAATGTGCAGTTCTCTTACTCATTCTCTGATTTATAAATATGATGTGTGTATCATATTCATAATGGAGTGGCTAAAAGTAGCTTCTTGTTGAAGGCTTTTGTAGGAAAGAAGCATTTTTAACAATATTGTACAAAATAAATTTAATGCAAATAAGATAAATAATATAGATAGTGAAATAAGATTCCTAATCAATAATATTATAAATATTCATGTATTTCTAATTTCAGACTAACATTTATGTTTAGTTAAGATACTGAATTGTCTATCTGACTTATTTACCATTCTTATCTAAGACAGAATCTTTTTAATATTTGCTTATCCATCAAAATTTCAATTCAAGAAAACAAAGAACAAGTTAATTTTTAAAAACAAGTATTGGCAAGTACTAGGGATCAAACCCAGAGACTTCTCACTGAGCTGCATCCCTATCCCTTAAATTTTTTTTTTATTTTATGGTAGATTCTCAGTAGGTCACTAAGTTTCCCAATGTGAGCTGAAATTTGCGATCCTTCTGTTTGGGCCTCCAACAGTGCTGGGATTGCAGGTATACAGCACCACATTCAGCAACTAAATGTTTACTTTTGGATTTTATATTTTTTGTTAATTCAGGA